GGACAGTGCTTCCTCTGTAGAGCTGCCAGCAAGGACGCAGCCCCCCCGCCACTCACGTGAGGCGTGAGGCCTTTTGGGACCTGCGTCTGGTGTGATACAGGCAGCACCCCGAGAGTTTCCCGAACCCTAGCGCAGGACACAGCAGCCTCACCGCCATGGGCTCTCCCTGGCCATGGTCCCCCACCCCACCCCGCCGCTGTACTCCTGCCTGGGGGTTCCACTGCCTGCACAGGTGTGAAGAAGAAGAGCCTTTCACAGCATGGGCCCTGCCCGGTAGAGGCCTGGACGAGGCAGGGTGCAGGTGGAATCATGGCTCTTGCCTTTACCTCTGGGAGCCTTGGTTTCCTTCTCTGCAAAATGGGCTTGTCAGCCGAATTCCATGAGCTCCTTTGCTGAGATTCAGTTCCCAGCTCTCTTCAGAGGCGTGGTGTGTGACCAGGAGTGACATCCTCAGTTGCTGCTATTTTGATTTCTGAGTGGTTCCAGAGCTTTCTGTGTCAACTTCTGCTGCCTGGTGGGCTTTGGTCAGCTGGCCAGAGTGGAGAGGGTATTTATTCATTTGCTTAGTCATTCTGGGTTAGCTATTCCCTGAGATTCTAAATTCTTGTTTTTCTTTCTTTTGTTTTTGAGACAGGGTCTTGCTTTGTAGTTCAGGCTGCACTCAATTCACTATGGAGCCCAGGCTAGCCTCAAACTTGTGACGATCCTCCTGCCTCAGCCTCCCCAGCATTGAGATTACAGGCATGCACCACCATGCCTGGCTTAGTTTGGGGCGTGGCTGCTATTTGTCTCACATGCAAACTAGGGAAATCGGCCAATAAACAGATGGCCTTTGCCAACCCTTGCTGACACTTAGCGTATTCCGACAGCTCCCTCGTCGCGGCTTCCTCCCCTCATTCCTGCTCCCAGAGGGAGCTGTTCTCACCAGGGAGCTTGAAGAGAATTTATGGTCATTTGGGTTTGAGCAGACCAAGAGGAAGGCTCCCGGGGCTGCACTGAGGTGCCAGACACTGTACTGTCTGAGGTGTCTTCATTTCTTAATCCACCCGACTCCAGTCAGGGTGCGGAGTGCCCATTTGAAAGTGTAAGAACTCCCACGAGAGGCGGCTGTTCTGCTGGACTTGGGGTTTGGCCTCTAGGAGGTTTGGGTCCAAGCCCAAGTGGCTGTGGCTCTGAGAGCACCGTTTCCTTGTGTAGGAAACGGGCAGCAGACAGCTTCCGGGGCATCAGAGCGGTGGATGCGTGATCCGAGGCAGCTGGGTTACTCCAGGCTGCAATGTGCTGTGTAGGCGATGGCTCTGTTTTCAGGCGGGGCCTGGGAGGTGACCATCCCTGGGCAGGGAGGGGCCTCCGGGAGCATCCCCACTGGGAAGCAGGCCGGTGTGGCCAGTGCAGGGTCCCGCAGGCTGAGGCCCTCTCTCCCCTCGGCTTGCAGATGCCTGCCTCCTCCTGTGTCCTCACGTGGTCATCCCTCTGCATGTCCGTGTCCCGATCTCCCCGTTCAAGGACGCGAGTCACACTGGCGGAGGCTCACCCGGCCAGCGCCGTGTGTCTTCTTTATCCCCGCACAGGTTCCATCTCCAAACGAGGTCACATTCTGGGGTCCCGAGGTTGCGACTTAGCACATGAACTCACCAGGGACAAAGCGCAGCACCTGACACCATGGCTTGACAGGGGAGGGAAGTGGCTTGCCGGTCCTGAAGGGCAGCTCACGTGCTGTCTTCCACGTGTCCTTCCCAGCTGGAAGGCGCGTCGGTGGCCTGTGGTCCCCTGGGCCATTCTCTTGGGGGCTGTGGTTCTCTGTGGACATCGGCCTGCCCCTGCTGGACAAGAGCTCTGGAGGGGACAGAGGGACGTGCTGGCTGTGAGTCCCCACGCTGTGCTCAGGCCTGGTGTTGTGTGCGTGGGTGTGACGCGGGGCTGTGCCCCGTGGGTAGGCAGCTGTGTTTCCACTTCATATGCACTTGCCGGCCTCTGTGACTCCTGGGGCAGGCATGGTGCAGGCTTGGGGGGCAGGTGGCAGCAAACCCAGACAGCCCCGGCTGGCCCAGAGCTCCCATCTGATGGGGGAGACAAGGAGGACTGGCACAGCACGATTTCACAGGGCTGTGACAAAGGGCAGCTCAGGGCCTGCGCCCTGGGGTCGAGAAGCAGCATCAGCCAGGGTCCCCGGAGGCCAGCGCCAAGCGGAAGTTTGAAGAAGATCAGAGGAGGAGGAAGCGGGTTTGGGGAGAGTGTTAGCCAGGCTTGGCCAGTCCCAGCTGTGGTAACAAAGAAACCCTGAAAGTAGGTTCTATGTCATGTGGACTCTGGCAGGGTCCTTGCTGGGCCGCACCTCCAGCGGGTGGGACGAGGGTTCCACCCCCTCCGTCTGGCTCCTCTGCCATCTCAAGGTCTCTGAGCTGGGGAGAGAGGAAGTCACACCTCCCCCTGGCCGTGGTTGACATTGTCTCCTGCCAGGGGGCCGTGAACCCAAAACAAAACGCCTGGAGAGGAGGATGGCCTTGGAGGACGGTTGGCTCTGTCTCCCACAGCTGAGGCCTTGTGGAATCAGCAGCGGTGGGGCTGATTGGGGGGTGCTGAGTAGAGTGCTGCGGGCCCCTTGAGTTGCCTGGGCCCAGCACCTTGGGAGGCCCCTGCCGCACCCCGCCCACCTCACCCCTTTCTCGGCCCTCCTGACACACACTGGGGCTGAGGGTTGAGACCTGGGCTTGGCGGCGCTCATGCACTTGTTTATCCATCCTGGGAACACCGGGCTTGGGCTGCAGACTGGGCGCAGAGAGGGAAGTCAAAGTGCCGCTCTCCCGGGGCGACAGCCTTGGGCCTGCAGCCTCCACACTCGTCGCTGATTATTCCTTCCCGCTTTTCCTTGCGTCCTTCCCCATTCAATGCGGGTGTTTTTCTGAAATTTGCATGCCTTCCTTTAAGGAAAAAAAACACTGCATTGTTGCATTGTTTTCTTTCAAAAACAATGATAAAAATTTATAATTAGATTTATCTGGAAGAGGATAAAGAAGCAAATTAGTGTCTAGGATCTCTTGTTAACCTTTTGCATCCCCTGGAGACAGGGTCTGGCACTGAGCTGGTGCTCCATGAATATTTGCGACTTAGTAAAAAGAATCAACAAATACGTGATGCAGAAAGTTGAGCTCATGAGTGATATTTGGCCTTGCGCTCTGCCCTTCACTCTTGTTGGTGTTCGCCTGTCCCCATATGGAGTTTGTCGTGAGGGCGTTGGTGCAATTTACATCATCTGGCCCTAGGGCCGAGCACTGTGCCACTAGGACAGACACCCAGGTTGTATAAGAAGCTGTGCTTTGTCCCTAGTCAGTGCCTAGAAGTGGCCACATGTGGGAATAAAAAGGGTCAAACTGCATCAGGCGTGGTGGTGCACTCCTGTAATCCCAGCACTCAGGAGGCTGAGGCAGGAGGATTGCCTCTAGTTTCAGGCCATCCTGGGCTATGTAGTAAGTTCAGGGCCAGCCTGAACTACATAGTGATACTTGTCTCAAAAACGACAACAAAAAAACCCCCAAAAAACAAAAACAAAAGGGTCAAACTTCTACCTGCAGAGTACTTCCTGCTCAGCTTGGAGGGGGAGCTGGTTTCTGAGAATGGCTGTGGGTAGAAAGCAGCCAGGTCAGAGAAGCCAGGGGATGAATTATGCATTAAGCTCTAATAAGGCAAATCAAGCAAATGGAGTTCATACTTATCTGAAGACAGAGTGTACCTTTCTGCAATCGATCGGTGGCAGTGCTGCTGACCCTGGATAACCCTTCCTGGGGTGGTAGAAGCTCTGCACTCTCTCTGCTCAAGAGGAATGTGACAAATGGTGCGGGGTGCACACCTGTAATCCCAGCTACTCAGGAAGCTGAGGCAGGAGGATAGAAACTTTCAGGCCAGCCTGAGCAACTTAGTGAGGCACTGCCTCAAAGTAAAAAGTTAGGAGAGTCTGGGAATGTAGCTCAGGGGTGGAGTGTGCGCCACTCTTGCAGGACGTCATTCCCAGTCTTGCAAGGAGAAAAAAGTGGGGGCAGACACTGGGGTAGGCAGGTCATGCAGACACCCTGTCACCCCTGCCGGCACCCGTGTCCTGTACTTCCTGTCTGCCGCAAGCTGCGGGCTCACCAGCTCCGTGTGAGGCAGCAGCCAGTGTGTCTCCCCGTGAGAGTCTCCGGAGCTGCGGCCTCCTGCTTCTAGGAGCACTTCCTGCTCTTAGCTCCCTGGCTCTCCGTTCTCCTCACCTGTGCACTCCCTGTTTATGGTCCTCCATGCCAGCTTCCCTCCAGTGCCCCCAGGCTGGCATCCTTTCTTCTCACCATGTTCTTTCCCCGGGCGACTGTGTCCCAGGGCCCCCACTCCCAGCTGTGTGACCTTAGGTAGCTTACTCAGCTCCTCGTGCTTCAGAGGTGCTTCAGAGGCCCCACTCCTAAGGCTCTAGTGATTAGATGATCTCTTCAGCTGTGCCCGAGGACAGCGGCAGCATCAGAGGAGCTAGCACGTAGTAAACCCTCATGACTGTCCCCTGGTGGCCTCAGTCATCCATTGCTCCGGCGACAGATCTTTCCGGGGCGCTTCTCATATGTTGGACATGGCGTTAGGCACAAAGATGCAGCGTGGGTCCAGGTGGATCCAGGTCTTGTGTTCTTGGAGCTTGGAGATCCTAAAGTAGAGGAAGCAGAGAAGAAATCAGTGAGTGTACAGTCTGTCGTGGGAAGCAGCAGCAAGGCACAGTGAGGAGGAGGAGGAGGAGGAGGCGGCTTGCAGAGTATGGTCTGCAGTTCGTGGAGATGGGGTTGTCTTATCCTTAGGGACAGAGGACACAGTGAAAAGCCCCTAACAGCCTCCAGGCGATGGTGACACCGCCCTAGGGGAACACCAGGTCTCAGTCCTGGGAGGAAGGGCATCCTCCAGAGGAGCTGTAGCTGGCCCTGGGGTGTCTCAGGGCAGGAGGATGCCAGCTCCTCCCACTTTGCTAACTTGGTTCCCTCATCCTCCAGGATCCCAAGTGATGGTGATTTATGCGGAGCACAGGCTGAGCCCTGCAGGACTGGTTAGCACGGCGGAGCTGCTCGCCACACCTGCTGGAGGGCGGGCGTGAACCCCAGGACCTCGACGTCGAACCCAAGAGGAAGCATGTCTAAAAAAGGCCGGACCAAGGGCGAGAAGCCCGAGATGGAGACGGACCCGGTACAGATGGCCAATGAGGAGCTACGGGCCAAGCTGACCAGCATTCAGATCGAGTTCCAGCAGGAAAAGAGCAAGGTGGGCAGCACGGGCCTGGTCTCCGTGGGGGCTTGGCTGTGGACGTGGTGGGGATGGCTGTGTCCTGGGGACATAAGGAAGGCATGGTCCTGCCTGGGGCACCCTGGGCCTGTCCTTTTCTAGTTGTCCCCAAAGTGCAAAGATGGCAGCCCTGCCACCTGCTGGCTGAGACCTGGGTCAGGTGCAAAAGTGTAAATTTTATTTACCCTACCGGCAAGGTGGGAGCCATAGAGGTCCCCCTGCTGGCTACGGACAGGACTTGTCACTACGGAAAGAGCCTGCACAGACCTGCTCTGTCCCAGGAGCTGTTTCCTCCTGGTAGGCCAGGTGTGAGCTCCGGAGCCAGACACGGCAGCACTGCCCAGGTCGTGGCCTGCTGCAGGAGGACAGTGAAGGCACAGCTGTGACGCACAGTCCATCCCAGGGGGAGAAGCTCGGCCTAGTCCCACAGGCCTGGTGCGCACCACCGGGCGGCCCCTGACTGGCTGCACCGTCTCAGGCAGGTAACACAAGGCCTCCGCGCCTGTGTTCTGAGCTTGTCCACGGTCCGGTAGTAGCTGCCCCATTTGAAACTGTCAAGGCCTGGTGCCGTGGACACAGCTCTGGTGGCATCTGGTGTCCTTGGCTGCCACTGTCCTCTTTGCTGGTGTGGCTCTGCCTCTGGTGGGCTTAAGGGTAGCACTAACCTGGGTCCTGTGACCACAGAAAAGGGTAGGACTTGGGCCTGGGTGGGTGATGAGCAGCAGAGGGCCTGGCCCCGTTGGGGAGGTGACACTGGCCTCGGAAGGTGCCCTTGCGCGCTGCTGTGGCACTAAAGCCTGAGGGGGCAGCAGGTAGTCTGTCCTGTTGAGTGCTGGGACTCAGGCCCAGCTGAATGTCTGAGTGGGGTCCTGGCAGGTGAGGGGGCTGGGCCTTGGCCCTGGCTCTGACCCTAGGTCAGGACACCTGCACAGAGGGCAGAGGCTGCATCTGAACAGAGGCTGCACCGGGAGGCCGGCTTCTGGAGTCTAGGGGCAGGGCACACCTGCTACCTGAGTGCTTGTGAGTCCAGTCTGGGCAGCTGCCTCTTCCAGCTGAGGCTGCCGGTGGCACCACTGCCCACACCTTGCCTGATGAGGAGTGCTGCCCCTGCCAGGGTCCTCAGGCAGAGGCCAAGTGCCCCACAGGTCTGACCCGGGAGGAGCAACAGCAGCTGCTGTTTTGTGGGAAGCTGCACACCTGAGTCATGTCATGTTCCGTGCCACCCCCCACCTACCCTTGAAGCCAGGAGTGGCCCATGGCTCAGTGTGCTCATCTGTTAAATGTCTCCCCGCTGGTTCCTTGAGGAATAAGTGAGATAGTCACACCCAGGGCCTGGGAGTTCCAATTCAGCCCACCCAGTGGCCAGCACAGTGGTGGTGCTGCTGGGTGGACCCCAGGTCTGTGGGAGGCCCCATCCTGAGGCCACCTTCCTGCCTCTGGGACACACGGTGATTTCCACAAGCGGATATGCTGCCCAGCTATTCTGTCCATCCATTGCCTCCCTCCCTGCTCTGGAGGACTTTACCCATCTGGCCACTGGGAGAATTTCTGTTCTCAGAGCATTCAGCACTGTGCTTCCTGTCTGCTATGAAAAACATAAATGTAAACTTTACAGTTGCATTTAAATGTTATCATTATTTTGATCTCACACTATCAGTGTCACATTTACAGTGCTGTTATTTTAACTAAAGATCCTGGTGAAACATTGCAGGGCTATGGTACTGTGGGACTGTGGTAAATGTATCCATCCATCCATCCA